GCCCTGTCCACTTCCACTGAAGGAACAAAAACTTTTCATCTAGAGATTTCAGGAGAAAATGGAAAAGCAGTTCTAATCAACAAACAGACAATTTATAAACATTAGAATTAACCAATCATACACTGGCTGCCATATACCCTACCTTTAATCCATTTTATTGTTAAACAAAATTTGAAGACAATCAAAAGCCTGTAGTTGGATCAAAACATTGACCACAGGTTTGGAGTTCCATGAGGGTCCATTCTTGACATTCATCGTGGTCTAATTAATGGTTGCTAAATGTTTGTCTACAAATTATTTTTTATTATCAGGTGTCCAGGCCATTTCCTGCTGTGAGATGAAAGGGACAAGAAGAAAGCTTTACATGTGAGTGAAAGAAAAATGAGCAAAAATGTGAACCCTACAGTCAGGCTAAACAAAAACCAGTTGTAGAAGTACAGGCTGGGGGAAGGAGAGTTTTTTATCTGTTTATATAGTGAGCAGGGTAGTGCACTTAACTATACATTCAAACAGCTAACAGTATAATGTGGCTGCTCATAAACAATTTTATTTTAGGCTACATCACTGGAAATATAGTCTCCAAAGCAAGGAAGATAATACCTTAGGTATACTGTGCACAAGTTAGAATCCTGCCAGAAGATGGCTTGCTACACTTGTAGACAAGTTGACAAATTACAGTGTTCCCAAAACAGATTCCAGAGGTGCAGGCTGAAAAGTATCATATAAGAACTATGTTGAAGGAATTGAGAATGTTTAAACCAAGAGAGACCTGAGTTAAGTCATATTAGCTGCCTTCAGCCTTTGAAGGGTTATCTGTAGGACAAATTAAATATTTGGGACGAGATTGATTAATAATAGTGCCCTGGCCGGTTTGGCTCAAAGGTTGGAGTGTCGGCCTGCGGTCCGGAGAGACCCAGGTTCAGTTCCCGCTGAGGGCGCATACCTCGGTTGCAGTTTGTCCCCGGCCCTGGTTGGTTGAGTGGGTGGTAGCCACTCGATGTGTCCCTTTCACGTCGATGTTTCTCTGTCTCTCTTCCTCTCTCCCTCCCACTCTGTCTGAACAACAACAACAACAAAAAATAATAGTGCTAGCCGGCCAGTGTGGCTCAGTGGTTGAGTGTTGACCCATGCACCAAGAGTTTGCTGGTTCGATTCCTGGTCAGGGTACAAGCCCAGGTTGTGGGCCAAATCCACAGCGGGGGACATGCTGGAGGTGGCCAATCGATGTTTCTCTCTCTCTAAAAAAACAACAGCCCTGGCCGGTTTGGCTCAGTGGTTGGAGCGTCCACCTGCGGTCCGGAGAGACCTGGGTTCGGTTCCCGCTAAGGGCAAGTACCTCGGTTGCAGTTTGTCCCCGGCCCTGGTTGGTCGTGTAGGTGGCAGCCACTCGATGTGTCCCTTTCACATCGATGTTTTCCTCTCTCTCTCTTCCTCTCTCTCTTTCCCACTCTGTCTGTACAAAAAATGGAAAAATGTCCTCGGATGAGGATTAAAAAAAATAAAATAAAAAAAAATAAAACAACAACAACAACAAAATAACAGTGCTAGGCAGAATTTGTATTTCTGGTCAAGGGATATTGCAAAACAGTAGATTTAAATCATCTTTGTAAGTACAAAAGATCAAGTACACAGATTCTAAGGATTGTTCATTCCATCATGGAAGAACAATATATCACCATGTTGTTTTGCTTTTGGTGTCCACCTAAATAAAGTCTCCTTGGACCTGCTCCACTTGCTCCCTTAAATGTTGTTTTTTTCATTAGGTCTATCACTGGCTCACTTTGCTTTGCAATCTGTCTGGGCTATTTCACATGTTCACCCATTTAGTTTCTACTCATATGCTATTGAGTGCTAAATCTTAGTTCCTTCCCCAGAACTTCCAATTAGGCATCTCCACTTGATGGTTTCATGGGTACCTTCCACTCAACATACCAAAAAGTGGACACATTGTTTTTTTACTGTGCACTTCACCATCATCCCCACCTCCCTCAAACAGGTAGGCTCTTTCTGTATTTGCCATCTTTCTTCTGGCACCACCAATTATGAAGGTCAACTTCTACCTCATCCCATACCCAGTTAATCACCAGTTGCTGCTTATTTGATGTCCAAGTAATGTCTTGGTTCTATCACCTCCATGACAGCCCTGATTCATACCCTTTTCATCTTTTACCTGGCCCACTGTGACAGTTTCCTTGCCTACACTCTTGGCCTCACCAAAATTCATGCCCAACAAAATGGCTACATTATTTTGAAATACTAATTTGATGACCTTTCTGCTATTTCATATTAATCAAAGGCTCTCTTCATACAAGGCATCACCCAAGCTCCCTGATATGGTTAAGAAGCCTGAGATCTGCCCCTGACTTGCCTTGTTTTTTACACTATAGCATTCAACCCCAAAGAGCTTGTCCTCTCTGTTCAGTTGTGCTGCCCTCCCTGACCCTGCTCTACACACACGCACACATGCCCTAACCCTCTGCTTGGGAAACACTTGTCTTTTAAAACGTACTTTGGGTCATACCTCATCCACAAAGCCTTCCCTGATGTCCCATGTTACGTGTCCCTCATAACAGACCTGCTCTCCTAGTGCTGCCTCAGTATACTTCTATTTTTCCACATGTCACATAGAATCTTCATTCTCTTATAGAGATATATAAATATATATATATATATATATTTATATTTTTTTAAAAGAATTCAGATTTAGTTTTATATATATATTCTTTTTTAAAAAATATATATATATATATAAATATAGTACAAGGGGTATAAAGGTATATGTGTGTATGTGTAGCTTCCACTGTACTGATTATTCTTGAGGGTAGAGACTATGTCTTAATCATCTGAATATTCCCAGAACTTAGCACAGTGTCTGGCACATAGTAGCTGTTCAATAAATCTATGTAGGACTAAACTAAACTGGTGTACTTAAGTCCTCACTATTGAAGCAGCCAATGCAAATAGATTTGGGAGGTTGGTATATATCTGTTGACAGTAAATATTTTGCCTCTGTTTGTTATTGTTCTAGAGTGGAGGGTGGTAGCTGAGTTAAAATTATCCACAAACTTGTGAGTTCTTTGTTCCTGGACTAGGTTAAAGGCGATGAAAATGATCTAGATTTGCAGGTTCATATTTGATGGTTGTGAAGCTAAAGGCTTTTCTGAGTTTAAGGTAAGTTTGCCCAACCAGCTTGATTATCTGTGACTGCATTAAATTATTACATTATTTCAAAAACGATTTTTACCAAAGTATTTAGACTCAACTAAATATTTTTTTTGCAATTTTTATTAATTTATTTTTGTTACAGAAGTTTCTCCTCCCCCCGCACCCCAGAACACCCTCCTCCCGATCCCACCCCGCCCCGGCATTGTTGTCTATGTCCATTGGTTACACATACATGCATATACGTTCTTTGGTTTATCTCATACCCCCCTCCCCTCCTCTTAAGTTTGTCAGTCTGAACCTTACTCCTTCCTATGTCTCTGGGTCTTTTTTGTTCATTATATTCTGTGTACCCTTTTATGTAATCGTCACCACCGTGCTTTGATACAGGAACCCACTCCCCTCACCATATTTTGCAGATGGAATTATGGTACTGTTTTACTGTATTTTAGTATTCTCACATATCCTCATATTTTAAAGTACCAAAATAGAACTTTAGTTGAGGTAAAATAGTTTTTTCAACATTAGAAAACTAAATCTGAATTCTTTTAAAAAAACTTTTTTTTTCCTTTATTGATTTTAGAGAGAGAGGAAAGGAGAGGGAGAGATGGAAACATCGATGAGAGAGAACATCGACTGGCTGCCTCCTGCATGCTCCCCAATGGGGATCAGGCCCACGACTTGGGCATGTGTCCTGGCCGGGAATCGAACCGTCAACCGCTTGGTGCATGGGTCGACACTTAACCACTGAGCCACACCGGCTGGACAAAATCTGAATTCTGAATCATTTATAAATAAGGTATAATGGCATTAAAAATTTTTTTAAGCCTCACCTGAGAATTTCTATTTATCTTCAGATAGAGTGGGAGAGAGGAAGAGGGCGAGGGCGAGGGCGAGAGCGAGAGGGAGAGAGAAACATCGATGTGAGAGGGACACATTGACTGATTATCTCCCGCACAACCCTGGCTAGGGCCAGGGACGAACTGCAACCAAGGTATGTGTCCTTGACCAGAATCGAACCTGCGACTCTTTGGTCCATGGACTGATGCTCTAACCATTGAGAAAAACTGGCCAGGGCAGCATTAAAATTTTGAACACACAGCCCAGCTGGTGTGGCTCAGTGATTGAGCGTCAACCCATGCACCAAGAGGCTGCCAGTTCCATTCCCAGTCAGGGCACATGCCCAGGTTGTGAGCCAAATCCCCAGTAGGGGGCATGCAGGAGGCAACCAATTGATGTTTTCTCTCATTGATGTTTCTATCTCTCCCTCTTCCTTCCTTCCTCTCTCTCTCAAATCAATAAAGAAAAAAAACTGAACACACAAAGGTTCATTTGTTTAGAAAGCATTGTTGCATGCCACAGACTTCAAGAAGAGGAGAAAAATGTCAATAGACAAAACAAACTTTTATTACAAGAAAAAGTTTTCTAGTTCAAAGACACTTCAAACAAGTAGAATTAGGAACAGGACATTAAAATTAATATAGGTTCTCTGCATCAGAATCGAAATCTACTTCATGAAATTAAAGATGAAAGAGTATAAATCAGAAAATTTCCATTTGAAACAAAAACTAGAGCTTGCTAGTAATTAAAAGAAAAATATCACACCTAAGGAAACAAAAATATTTGCTCAAAAAAATCTCCTCAAAGTTATCAAATAAGAGATTATATTGTTTGAACAAGAATTGGAGAACTATATTTGTGGTTAGGTTTATAGCCACTTCAAATTCTCTTGAGTAGTATAACACCAGAAAGAACTTTTTCAGCAGCTAGAAAAATTTGCACACAAAAATATACTTACGTTCTTTTCCTCCCTGGCTGCTTGAAAACCAATTTCCATCATGAATGACACAGTAACTATCCAGACCAGTAAGTTCATGACCAACAGACTACTTTAGGGAAACAAATGGTCATTGGGCAACAGTACCCAAGACAGAAATAGGGGAAAAACTAGCCAAAATGTATAAGATCATGCCAGATGTCATCTTTGTGTCTGGATTCAGAACCCATTTTGGTAGTAGCAAGACAACGGACTTGGGCATGATTTATGATTCCTTGAGTTATGCAAAGAAAAATGAACCCAAACATAGACTTGCAAGACATGGCCTCTATGAGAAGAAGAAGACCTCAGAAAAACAGAAAGAATGCAGGAACAGAATGAAGAAAGGCAGGGAGACTGCTGGCAAAAAGTGAGCTGGAGATTGGACAACAGAAGGAGTAAAGAGTCTTTAGTGACTTTATCTGTGGTGATGGTGCAGATTTTTCATGAGAGGATTAATAAACTAAGAAATTTTATATGAAAAAAATACACTTACAACTTAGCAGTAACACCGTTATATATGTTCTTTAAATCACTATTTTTAAAAAGAGCAAATATTTTTATTTTTCAATTATTTATTATATTTTAATTTTTAGTTTACTTTAATATTTTATTAATTTCATATGGTAATTTATATTAAAATGATGTATATTTAAAGATATTTCTAAAACTTACAATTTTATATTTAGTTGTGTGTATATTTACAATATGTATTTTCCTTTCAAAAGTATTAAATTTTTTATTAAATGCTGAATATTTTACTTAAAAAATAAATTATTGTTTTATGTAAAATAAATACTGAAATACCAGTGAAGTCATTTTGTGCTACTCTGTCAATCTCTAACAACTAGTAATTATTGGCACTGGAATTTGAACTCAGTCAGAATAGCTCCAGTTTTACTTTTCATCTAAATCAGGGTTTCTCAGCTGTTGACAGACATATGTACTTTGACATTTTGAGCCAGATAATTCTTGGTTGGTGGTGACAGGAGCTGTCCTGTTCATTGCAGAATGTTTAGGAGCATCATTGGCCTCTACCCATTAGATGACAGTAGCACCCTCCCCCTGCCCTGTAACATACCCCCTCCCCAACAATGTCCACTGGAAGCAAAACTGCCCCTAGTTGAGAATTTGTGGTCTAAATTATTCTGACTTCTGGCTATATGGAAAGAACACTAAACTTGGAATCAAGACGTGGGTTTTACCACTTGCATATAGATGTCTATAAACACACATTTCAAAGCAATACAAAAATTTCCTAGGTATTCGGCTTCTTGTCTCTGCTCATTACCCCCGCCTCTATAATTTGATATTCCAACCACAGAACAAGTATTTGTAATTCTCCATTTTAACTTATCATTCATTTGCATTTGTGTCTAAGTTCCAACAGTTTCTCCTACTTTCCATCTGCCAACTCTTATTCTTCAAGACTAAGGTTTTCCTATCTTTTCTTTCCTGTTTTTCCACTTATTTATCTTTTTTGTTCTACTTTTTAAAATAATTTTCAACTCTACATGGCAATGATTCTTCTGAATATTTTTATTTCTGTGATTATATATTTTATTTCTAAGCACTTTCTCTGTTGTCCAAATATCCCTTTTTATGGTTTCTTGCTTTTGAGTGTGAGATGAAGAATCTGCTCTCTGAAGATATTATATTAATCATTATTATTGTATTTATTATATTATTATTAATATAGTTATATTTTAAGTCCTATAAATATAACTATATTGTCCCAGTTACTCCCACCCTGCATTTGTTTTTGTTTTCTTATTTTGGTCCTTCATGGTAGAGACTTCCCTTACATTGTAGCTTGCTCCTTCATATACAAACAGACTCTTAAAGTCCAACTGAGTGCTCTCTAAGCACAGACGGGACTGATAGGTTGACAAGCATTTTCCTGGGTATCCGCAAATGCCAATATCCATGGATATTTTCTCTTAGGCTAGTCGGTTTCCCTAGAAAAGAATCCTGCAATCTCCAGCCTGGGGAGTATAAACTTGGCTGCCAGTGCTCAAAAATCTAGGTGAAATAAACCTGTGGTTTCTCCTCTCCATCTTTAGCTGTATCTGGTGATCCATTCTGAGTCCAGAGTTCCTCTGGATCACTCTAGAGGCCATCGCCTGCCTTGTGTTGGGTGGGAGAGGGCCAATCAACTGGCTGCCTAGATTAGAGGGAATCTGGGAATATAACTGCTCCTTCTATAGATTTTAAATTGACCCTTCTGTTTTCAGGCCCATCCTTCCATCCCACCTTCAGAGGTACTTGCTTCCCAGCCTGAGTCTTTCCAAGGCTCTGCAGTCCAAACTGGCTTGCTCCTCGTTTAGCACTTAGGTTCCAGCTTTCAGATCCCAGTCATTTCTCTTCCTTAAACTCTTCATCTTCCAACGTATTTTTGTCATATCTCCACATACTCTTTCTTCCAGAATGCTCTTTGTTCCTTTACTGTTATTTTAGCAGAGTTTGAGAAAGGATTAAAAATGTGTGTTCAATGAACTATATTTAACAGAAAGTCCCCTTTCCACCTTTTCCACCTTTCCAGCCGCTTGTGCACTCAGGCTCCTCTGTGCTCTCCTTGTGAGGAGAATCTATAACATTTGCACTGTTGTGTACACCCCCCCCCCCCCCCATGGCTGGAATACATTTGGCATCTTGTCTTCCTGGAGAATTCTCACTGTCCTCCCCAAACTCACTCCTGGGCATTACTGGCTTCCTTTTCTGTATTCCCATGGCCTCTGTACATCTATTAGAGCCTGGTTTTCAAACTAGGGGTCATGAATTAGTGAGTCATGAGAGAAATTTAGTAGACCTTAGAAAGCATTTATTTTAGCCCTGGCCGGTTTGGCTCAGCGGTTGGAGCATTGGCCTACGGTCTGGAGAGACCCGGGTTCGGTTCCCTCTAGGAGCATGTACCTCGGTTGCAGTTTGTCCCCAGCCCTGGTTGGGTCGTGCGGGTGGCAACCACTCGATGTGTCCCTTTCACATCAATGTTTCTCTCTCTCTCTCTCTCTCTCCCTCCCTCCTACTCTATCTGAACAAAATGTCAAAAAATGTCCTCGGGTGAGGATTAAAAAAAACAAAAAACATTTATTTTATATTTTTATATATTGGGATGAGACATAAGACATATTTCTTGCCTGGCTGGTGTAGCTCAGTGGATCGAGCGTCGTCTCATGGACTGAGAGGTCCCGGTTTGATTCCCTGTCAGGGCACATGCCCAGGTTTTGGGCTTGATCCCCAGTAGGGGGCCTGCAGGAGGCAACCAATTGATGTTTCTCTCTCTCACTTCCTCTCTCTCTCTAAAAAAACAGTAAAAAAAATATATATTTCTTACTGTGGGTCAAGTTAGATAAGTTTGAAAGCCACTGTATTAGGGCACTTTTCAATCTGAATTATTTGATTATGTGTCTTTACTACTAGACATTAAACAACTTGGGGGTAGAGACCAGAAATTATTCCCCTTCTCTATGCCCAGGGCCCATGTAAGATCTAACAAGTCTTGGTTAATATTCAGTGAATTGAATCAAATATATATGAAATCACTGTGTAACCTGTAATGTCTTCTGAAGTGGAACTCACAGGAGAGGGCACTTGAGGACAAGTAACTGAGTATTGTCACAAATACTGTCTATCACATACCTGAGAAAGTGAGGCTAACCCTAGGGTGGTCAGGGCCATGCTGCTCTACAAATCTCCTGGGTTCTAAAGCCAGTTCCAGTCAAAGAGCTTCCCCACCCTGCTTATCCTTAGATATTTAAATACCTTACACTAATCCGGTGTTTGCTTACAAGCACACCTTGTTTTATTGCTCTCTGCTTTACTGTGCCTCACAGATGCTGTGGGTTTTTTGGTTTTGTTTTACAAATTGAAAGCAAGTCCCTCTACCAGTAAAAGATTACAACTTGCTTTATTGCACAATCTCTCTGAGGTATGCCTATATTGATAACTCATGGAGAAATTTGGAATTTTACACAAATACTCTAAGAAAACCACCATTTAATATTCCTCTTTTCAGTTGTTAAAAAGATTGTAGAATAAATTTGGGGAGGCCATGTTGTATAATGAAAAAACATGGGACTTAAGGCAACACAAAAATCTGGGTTCAGATCCCATCTCCATAAGCAAGTAACTTAATCTCAGTCTGTTTTCTTCTCTGCAAAATGGGAATACATATCCACTTCGAAAGGTTTTCATGGGGGATTAAATAAGCTAACACGTAAGTCGAAGCAAGAACAGGACAGGTAACTAAAACAGTCTTCTTTCCCTTTCTGTATGCAGTTACTCAGATCCTAGTGAGAGGAGGCAAACCATTAACCAAAATCATTAAACTAGTATTTGAGTAGAATTGGGCTGGAGACATCCTTGTTGGTATCCTCACTTTGACCTGTTCTGCTTTAAACCTGCTAATGCTGAAATAAGAGGTGTTTGTGGTTATGACTACGCCTGCTGCAGTAGTGTCCCTTTATCCATGGTTTCATTTCTGCAGCTTCAGTTAACCACAGTCAACAGCAGTCTGAGAATATTACATGGAAATTCCAGAAATAAACAATTCATATGTTTTAAATTGCAAGCTGTTCTGAATAGCGTGATGAAATCTCACGCCATCCCCCTCCATCCCACTCAGGACCTAAATCCTCCCTTGTCCACCGTATCCATTTTGAATACACTCCCAGACCATTAGTCACTTAGTAGCCCACTCAGTGATCAGATTGACTGTCATGGTATTGCAGTGCTTGTGTCCAAGTAACCCTTATTTTACTTAATAATGGCACATTTGCGTAACTTTGATTACAGTACGTTGTTATAATGGTTCTATTTTATTATTAGTTATTGTTAATCTCTTGCAGTGCCAAATTTATAAATTAAACTTTATGATAGGTATGTCTAGGGAAAAAAAACAGTATCTATAGGTTTAGTACTATCTGTGGTTTCAGGCATCCACTGGGGATCTTGAAACAATCCCCTATGAATAAGGAGGTCTACTGTAATTTGTATAGAAGCCAGTTTCTGCTTTTCCAGTGGGAAACTATAGCTCAGTTACCCACAGAGGAAGCAAAAATATGCTTAGAAGATTTGTGTATGCTTTGTTGGTCTACAAGGAAAGAGGCTACGCAATGTTCCATTGTTAATTTATATCTTCTGACAGTCTGTTCAAGGTGGAAAATGTGACTGGATTTCTTTGCTCTCCTTTATTCCTTTATACTGTTGTAGACCAATGAGACAGACCAGACTCAGACTCCGAACTGGGTTCAAATTAAGAGAGCTTTATTAGCCACGCAGCGACTGTCCCGTCCTACTCAGAGGAGAGAGCAGCCCCGAGCTCAGGGGGGAAGGGTTGCTTATATAGTTGTCTTAGCCCCTGTTAAGGAATTTG